TCTAATTATTTCCCTAAAAAGAAAGTTTCCTGCACAACTTCACGTTACGATCTTTCCAATGACACCAAAAACATGTCAATCGGTTCAGTAGTTTCGGAGGAGTAATTGTCACAAAAAACCTGCTTGCGTATTAAATAAGTATAGATAGATTGTAGAAATTCATTCGTTATTTAGTAAGAGTACTATGTTACATAATGAACGTAAGTAAAAGTATTGTTAACTTTTGCTTATAAATTTCAGTGTTTTATTTTATAGCAAAGAGGCTGTTATAGATTTTATGTCATTCCGTTTATGGCTGTTATATTATGTTTTTATTTTATACTGTTTTTAGTCACACATTTCAATTTTACTAATACTTGCTATTAATAATTAATAATTAAATATTTCATAGGGTTTAATAAAAGAGAAGTTTTGTTTACGTTCATCAAAGAGCATGAGTTATTTTATTAGCTAAGAATTTGACCTATTATTTTTGACCAGAGGCCATGACTAAATAACACCCGTTGAATGATTTAGAGTAGGAATACTCGTACAATATCTGTACTCACCAATGGATGAATTGTGGAGTAAGTAAAAATATGAGTTAAAGTAAGTCAAGTTAATGTTTCCCAAAGACAACAGGTTCATAATCTATCTAAATTGACGGATTTGGCACTGCTGAGGGATGATGAGGATGACGAATCCATCAATAAACCATATTGTTGTCAAGGAGTTGTGTTCTTCAGGGAAAATCTGTTTCATGTTAAGACAGAGCTGCAGGTAAATCATTGATCAAAGTAGAGGCATGAAATTATGAAAAAACTAAAAAGATAATATGATGTTTAACAGAGAAATATAAATCTCATTTATTTTTTAGGTGTGAAACATCTTCGCATGAGATATTTAAAGATCCTGGCAGAGAAATGTAACCATTTAAAGTCGTTTCGATAGAGAGATATATTCTGATATTGTCATAACGTCGCCTTTTTGACAATTGCATGTAAAAAATATTTATATTCACAGTGAGTATTTAAATTATCCAGAGTTGAGACTTTCGTAGTTTTTTTGGAAGGCATTTATATTTTTTTTTATTAAATAATTATATACTATTTGGAAGACACTAAAATGAAATGTGACTAAGTTTTTTTTCTTTTGTTACCGCAAAGAGTTTCATAATAAATTGGAACATTTTGCTAAAAATGAGTAGTTAGTTCGTAAAATCCGAATTCTCAATAAAACTATAATTTTATATACTACCACCTAGTGGTTTTATACCTTTGATGTCTATTATTTAATCGTATGGTTTTTATCCTGATAAACTTATTTACTGTACTTAAAACATAGTAATACTGCTAAACAAGGAAAGTAACCGTTTACAAGAATTGAATTTATCTCAACAACGATCGTAATACACTAAGAACGGTGCTAAGTGTTTAATTAACAGTAGAAACCTCTTGATCTCGTTGCTTGCTAAGACAAGGGCCTATCGGATTTTGCGTTGGCACGTGAAACTTTTCAAAAAGCTTGTTCTCGAATTTTAATTATCAATGTTTGTGTTACACAGTTTTAAAGTGGATTAAAATGTTTAGCAGATTTTTTTTGAAAACGTTAATAATGTCTGCTATTAGTGCCTTTTCATATAGAACTACTTTAATCTCTCATTATTTAAAGGTTAGGTTCACAAACATTTCCTAATACAACATTTGTAAACGTTTATCGTAAACCTCATTAATATAATTTTCTATCATTATTGTTATTTCGGAATGCTAAGTGACTTTTGCATATTTTGAATTAAAATTTTACATAATTATTTGTTTAAAATTTGTGATACCTGAATAAATTAGGACCATTAAAATGTCAGGCCACTTTAAGTTCTGATTTTAAGGAGTATATGAATATTTCTGTTTTGTACATTTTTAAAAAGTGCATCCTTTTTGCGTTGCCTAAGCAAATACAGTTTTTTACTATGGAAATCCCTTTCAAGAGGCACAGTTCCCCATGTAAAAAGTTTGCTGGATAGACGAATTCTGATACTAATTCCATATTCAAAGAACCCAATTTTCAGTAATTTAAGCTTTAGCTAAGCCAGTTAATAAATCTCCGGTTCAGTCCTAGGCAACTGCATATCACCAGCTGATATTATCTTTCCCATATTTTCAAAAATGGATTATGTGGAAATAAGTCGGCAACTTTCCTGTGAAAGGATTGAAAAATTTGCCTAAAACACTTGGGAACAAGGCCAGCTCCTACAAGGTGATTCAGTGATTGGATTTTTTATAAAAAGCCTTTATGAAATTGTAAGTACTGTACTTACAGTAGTTAACTAAGTACTGTACCAATTGATCTCACTTAATCTTAGAAGTTTATTTTAATCAATTAATCTAAAGTTATTATGATATTAACTTATTTTGAATTAACTCCCTTAATACTAGGCGATTGTTCGATTTCGAGCAACGGGTACAAAAGTAATACTTTTAATAATTGCATTACAAATCCTACTGCATAACGAAGTTTCAGTAGTTTATTCTACATGTCTTTATAGTGTTTTCAAAATTATTAACATTAGTGTTCCCCACAAAAGTCAGATAATACTACATAATACTACTGTTGTAATATCTTACTAGTCTGATACTCTTCACTGTGTATTGGAAACATATAAATCAAGTGAAATGTGTTCTCATGTCTACGTTCTCTACACTGTTACACCCAGGAAATCCTCTGCCAGTGATAAAAAAGCAAAGAAAGGGCAATAAAATGCTTCAACGTGTTTTAAAAATTTCATTAGCTACTAAGGAAAGATAATAACAAGTCGCTATACCACTAATACCAAAGTAAACATAGGATTATAGGTACGCTCAGATCAGGACAACAGTGTGGGGTGAAAACAGAGAGTCTGTACATTACATATTTTTGGTCGAGTTTTCGACCAATGGACGACCTCTAGTTATATTAAAAAAACTAGCGTTATAAATGAATGATTGACTCTGCGCAAAGAGATTCAAAAGTGCCATTCGATTATATCATTAGAATTATCGGTGTATCATATTACCGATGGAACTATTACTACCAACTTCAAAACTTGAGATGTAAATACAATTTTCTTCTTTTTGGTTGTCGAATAGCTTTTTTGTTATATAAAGGACTGAATTTTACAAGAACATTGTATAAATAGTTAAATACCTACCAACTGCTTTAGACTATCATAGATGGATTTTCACAATAACCGGTAAAAGGGAAACAAAAATTAGAAATAAGTACTGAAGTCAATACAAAGTGATTTAGGCAGTTAACTTATGTTGTCCCTAAGGTCAATATAAGCCTGTTTAAAATATCCATAAAGACACTATAGTTACAAGAGTAATTTGGAAAAACATTCATTTTCTTACCAAACTATTAACCCTAAAAAAAAATACCCCCGCCGCAGCAAACCTGCAGACTAAGCTAATTTCAACTCGTCTGATTACATTTTTACTAAAATATTTCCATAAATAAGACATATTATTCCCTATTTAAATAACATTAGATTTAACGAGTGCTTAGGTTTGTTGCTACGGGGAAGGTAAAAAGTGTTTTTTGACCATACGTCAATAGTATAGGATGAAATAAATAAATTTGCCAAATTTTATCAATATATACCCATAAACAAGTAAACTACAACAATTTTAATTTTCTCCATAAGAATAACATGGGAATTTTTAATTACACTATTTTTGAATTTTCTCCGTGACCGTTAGGCATACAACAGCGCTTCAATATACTAAATTATTTCTTTTTTTAAGCTCTACAAAACGGTTTAGAAAGAAATCGCAAAATTTTTTGTTTTTAGGTTGAAAAATGGGAAAACCCCATTTTTACCCCATAAAACCCCCCATAAACCCCCGTTCCCATGGTCCGATTATGCTGGATCGCGAACTCGTTCGAATAAACGTAGGTTTACACGTTTGTACCAAATTTCATCAAAATCGGATCATTTTTGTTAGAGTTATCGCGCTAACGGACATATATATATATATAAATATATATATATATATAAATATATATATATATACATATATATATATATATAAATATATATATACATATATATATATATAAATATATATATATATATATATATATATATATATGAAATTGAACGGATGGTGTTTTTGGGCCTCTAGGGACCTCAAAATGAAAAATTAGATCGGTCTCGGGTCCAGGTCTTACCATGAGTACTACGGTAATAGCTTATTCCCTATATGGGAAATTCGCTAAAAACAAAAAAAAAACACTTTTTTACCCTCCCTGTTTGCAGCAAATCTAAGTACTCGTTATACTAATTCTATAAGGAATAAATGTGATTTATTTAAGGAGGCATTTTAGTTTAAATCCAATCAGGCAGATGGAAATTCGCTTAGTCAGCAGGTTTGCTGCGGTGGGGTTGTTTTAAAGATATTTCAATTTAGCATATTTAGTTTTAAGTATAACTTATATGACTCCATCAGGAATGGTGTATTATAACCTGCATAACCTATTAAGCAGGATACCTTTAGTTGCGAATCACCATCTCATCTTTAAGTATAGTTGTTATCTATTGTTATCATTATTGACTTAAGCAATGCGCTACTAGCCGCACAATATTAAGGATTATAAATGTTTCATTAGACAAAGACAAGCTCTGGGTTCTGAGAAGGGCTGAATATTGAGACTAAGAGCCTGTTGTTGTAACATATTGTCCCATAAAACAGGCTCTTCATATATCAAACTGTCTTGTGTGGTAATACACGACTTAAATATATCAGCTTTAAGTTTGGTTTGGATCTGAGGGTTTTCTATTTTGGCAACTAAACAGAATTAAGATAAATTTTAACTGTGACATTGATTATTTTATTGAAAATTTACAGAATTGTCTAAATAAAGAAGATTTGTGAACACACATTTTCAATGTCTTAACTTTAAATGTTCTAGAATAGTGTTAAACCGTACATCTACTGTGAACGTTGAGTATATAAGTATTATCTTTTTTAATTGAACCAGAGCTCCTATTGGCTGTCATCAGCGTTTTGAAACTGTATGAGAATGACAAGGTAGGTTGTTACTGCTCCTGCGATCTGAAAAATAGCAACAGATAAAAAAATTAGTCAACAAGTGGAATTATTATTTTACAGCAGAAAATGTATTAGCTAGTGAGTTAATAGTAAATATAAATTGACACAACAGACATAACATCTTTCTAGTTGCCACATACAATTGGTTTAACAAGAATGAAAAAAAGAGTAAAGAAGGTTATGTTACAATGTTCATGACAATATAGATAGACGAGCTAAAGACACAACTTTTAGTTAAGCTAAAAATCAATCTAATAGATGGACAGGTAAAAATCATTAGAAAATTACTATGCAGAGAAAAAACTAATGATAAATATAGCTATCGCTTTGTATAAAACTTTGCATACTCAAAAGTGACCTTACCGATGTCAATATTGGGCAGTGCAGAGGAAACAAACCAAACACAGTGAACTCCGCCTTGTAGTGAAGCAGTTGAAGAACAAACGTTTCCAGCTGAAAAGTGTTACAAAATTTGGTTAGTTAGTTTGGATTATTAATGTAATAAACGGTTTACTAGTTATTACCAGGCAAAGTTTTATATATGGATATCAACATAAGCCACATGATGTCGGAATTATGACTAAATAACTTGGTTAAATACTGTCAAAGTTAACTTAATCCTTAAATTTGTCATGCCAGAATTTCTTTACCTCTAGAGTTTTGCAAATTCCAATACAAATATATTTAAGAGTATTGTACACACTGTACGAAATACTTTCAAGATTCTATAATATTAATCACTTCTATTAGACTTTCATTCAACTAAACAGGGGAAAAACAAAAATAAAATAAAGTCCTATCATACATAACACCATAGGTTACGGAATGTTTCGGGTAAACAAAATTTATAAGTACCACTAGCGTACAATTTAAGCGTGTTCTTAGATATATTTATTTCGCGTTTTCCTAACATATTAAGCAATTTAAAAATTGTACTTTTTATGAAATTATCCTTTATTTATTTCAAATGGTCAAAATCAAAACAAATGGTGTTTCAAATCATTTTACCCCATTTGAACTAACAATTTCGCAAGAACAGAAAGAAAAGAACATTTTAGAATACTTGCTTGTTTTTGTGTTTCAGGTCGCATTTCTCTGTTAAGATGTCTACATATCATTGGGGCGGTCTTCTGAGCCTATAATCAAAGAAATTAGTTGAAGAAGAAATTAGTATTCAAAATTACAATTTTTGTTTTAACCACCTAATATTTGTTCATATTTATTCTGCAATCATGCCGACCTACGACAACCACCTATGGGTTCAGTGGCCATGATAAGAAGTCGTCTATTAAAAATGAAATATAAAAAATTACCATTAAAAAAAAAACATATTAAGTTACCTCTTGAGAAGCATTTGTACAAGGAATCATGAGGAATATGAGGTTGAGAGAGTGGGCGATGACCCAAGCACATTGGTGGAGGAGGAAGGTGATAGACTTCTCCGACACATGCTCCTTGGAATACAGGTTGACTGAGAAGAAAAGGAAGTAAGGAGCGATGATGATGTGAAGAAACAAGGAGAACATGTGAGCGAGGAGGGGCCAGCTGAAGATACTGTTGGTCTTGTGTATGATGCCACAGAGAGTCCAGTGTAGATCACTGAGGTGAGGGAGACCAATGAGGTAACGGACTGTGTCATCTGAGGTATCTGTAAAGGAACAAGGAGAACATGTGAGCGAGGAGTGGCCAACTAAAGATACTGTTGGTCTTGTGTATGATGCCACAGAGAGTCCAGTGTAGATCACTGAGGTGAGGGAGACCAATGAGGTAACGGACTGTGTCATCTGAGGTATCTGTAAAGGAACAAGGAGAACATGTGAGCGAAGAGTGGCCAACTAAAGATACTGTTGGTCTTGTGTATGATGCCACAGAGAGTCCAGTGTAGATCACTGAGGTGAGGGAGACCAATGAGGTAACGGACTGTGTCATCTGAGGTATCTGTAAAGGAACAAGGGGAATATGTGAGCTAGGAGTGGCCAGCTGAAGATACTGTTGGTCTTGTGTATGATGCCACAGAGAGTCCAGTGTAGATCGCTGAGGTGAGGAAGACCAATGAGGTAACGGACTGTGTCATCTAAAGTATCTGTAAAGGAACAAGGAGAACATGTGAGCTAGAAGTGGCCAGCTGAAGATACTGTTGGTCTTGTGTATGATGTCACAGAGAGTCCAGTGTAGATCGCTGAGGTGAGGAAGACCAATGAGGTAACGGACTGTGTCATCTGAGGTATCTGTAAAGGAACAAGGAGAACATGTGAGCTAGGAGTGGCCAGCTGAAGATACTCTTGGTCTTGTGTATGATGCCACAGAGAGTCCAGTGTAGATCGCTGAGGTGAGGGAGACCAATGAGGTAACGGACTATGTCATCTGATGTATCTGTAAAGGAACAAGGAGAACATGTGAGCTAGGAGTGGCCAGCTGAAGATACTGTTGGTCTTGTGTATGATGCCACAGAGAGTCCAGTGTAGATCACTGAGGCGAGGGAGACCAATGAGGTAACGGACTGTGTCATCTGATGTATCTGTAAAGGAACAAGGAGAACATGTGAGCTAGAAGTGGCCAGCTGAAGATACTGTTGGTCTTGTGTATGATGCCACAGAGAGTCCAGTGTAGATCACTGAGGCGAGGGAGACCAATGAGGTAACGGACTGTGTCATCTGATGTATCTGTAAAGGAACAAGGAGAACATGTGAGCTAGGAGTGGCCAGCTGAAGATACTGTTGGTCTTGTGTATGATGCCACAGAGAGTCCAGTGTAGATCACATAGGCGAGGGAGACCAATGAGGTAACGGACTGTGTCATCTGATGTATCTGTAAAGGAACAAGGAGAACATGTGAGCTAGAAGTGGCCAGCTGAAGATACTGTTGGTCTTGTGTATGATGCTACAGAGAGTCCAGTGTAGATCACTGAGGCGAGGGAGACCAATGAGGTAACGGACTGTGTCATCTGATTTATCTATAAAAGGGAAAGGAAACTTGTCAAAAATCCAGCTTAGGTATCTGGACATCACATAAACTAGGTGTTTATGTTATCCATATCAGCACAGTATGGCCAGACATTTGTAACACTGCTGCTTGCAATATATAGTAATACTACTACTTCTTGTAGTTAGTCCTAACCATTAGATCCTAGTACTGAATCTTACAGATACAATTTACGATAATCATGCTAACCTTATTGAGCCTTCAAAAAAATATACTGCCACAAAGTCATACAAGCACTATTTTAGTCTCACAAGCTTTAAATAATTGTTAGGCCCAGTGCCATTAGATAAACGAAAGTTGAAAAATTGACGTCTTTGATGATGGTAATTAATTAATTATTAGTTAATTCAGTGCAATATTTGAAGTTTAAGGATGTACTTAAATATAGTTTTAAAAATACATGATTTTCCTCTAACTTAAAAGTAAATAAATCACAACATACAGGTTGGTTTCTCCACTGCAGGCAAGTTGGTGGTGAGTTTGAGGAGTCCGGTGAACCTGAGATGACTCAACTCGTTAGAGATTCGTTCATTGACGAGTCGGAACCTCGCCCTGATGCTGTCCACCACCGTCATGTACTGCAGTTGGAGAGCTAGAGCAGTGAAGTGCAGAGTAACCACAGGCAGATGTACTGGCACTCTGGAGTGGAACTGGCCATTGACAGAATAGACAATTTTAGGGTGGAATATTAACATAGAATATATATTTTTTTTTCCTATGACGCTAGGCACGAGCCTGGGAAAGTTTTTCACATTACTTCAGACTAGACCTAGGGGTTGCGGCATTATCACTTAGATAAAATCCATTGGTGACTTGGTGGGGATCGAACCCGGGACCTCAGGGACCGAAGTACTAACCACTACGCCAGCTCGCTCCCCCAATAGAATGACATAGAATATGCGTGTATAACATTAATGAAAAGTAAATGACAATACGTAAAATAACACTTGAATCATGTCTTTTGTCTCTTATGTGTTAAGGGTTTCAGACTCATTTTATTTACTCTTAGTGATATCACTAAATATTTATTTATTTTACTTGCTAAATAAGTTTTAGAAATCCTCACACAACAACTGATGGAAAACAAGACAGTTAGAGAGATAACCCCAGCCAACAACCAAAGCTTGTAGTGTGAGTGAGAGGGCCGAGTCTTGATGACGTCATCAAACCTCTGCAAGTCTTCGTACAGCCGCACCAAAGAGCCGAAGTGTCTAGCAGAGTTGACCACGGCCACCACTGCAGACAGGCTCAGGGAGAATATGTCGCACAGCATTACCTGCAGTGGAATTAAGCTATTGCGTGGTTTTGGCAGAGATAAAACATAGAAAGTCGAATGAAGGACTTTACAAAAAATGAACTTGACAAAAAAGTTAGAAAAAACTTTATGGGTATAAATAATGTTCAATTCCCCACAGCAAATGACTTTTAAAGACTGTTTGAACTAGAAATTAGACATTCATGTAGATTCAACTATTTGATTACTGTTTATGTACTAGTTTAGGAATATAGCCTAGGCTAAGAAAAAACATTTAATCTGAAAGCATTGTTTTCAACTAAACACTAAATAGTGACTAAAACTTTTATTTAATACGTTACAAGAAGCATGCTGCTTACGAGTATTATTTTCTAAATTCAATGTTACGTTTTACTCTGCCGTAAGTCTATCGATTCGAAACCTTGTCAAACAAACCCCCCCCCCCCTTGTTTGGGGTGTGTTGCTAGCCTAGTGGTTAGAGTCTCGTAGTTCGGTGCGGGAGGGACGGGTTCAATCCCCGGCACATCCACATAACTGTAATGGGCTTGGACCGCTTTCCCTTAAAAGTGTTTGACTTCATACTTCATTACAAAAATGCCACTGGCGTAGATACAAGAAAAAAAACAAACAATAAACCTATATTTCATAAATGATTAAGAACCATTATAATAACTACACCCAATGTATTAAATCATTATGAAACTAGTAAATAAACACATATTTTAATTAGTCTTACCGCAAAAGTCGTGTTGTTCTTTATTTTGACACCTGTTATGTTCAGCTCGTAGTTTGATGAGAGAAAACAAGCAATAGCTTGGTAAGATACAACTGTTAAACTGTAAAAGAACAAGATTAGAGAGAATTTCACTTTATGGGTGGGAGCCAAGTTAAAACTCATTGTAGGAAATATACCTAATACTGCAAAGAAAATCAACAGAACTTTAGGCAACAAGGGTTCCATGTTAAGAGTAATATTTAGTAAAATACGAAGCTTTACACCATACTGAATTTACCTGGTGAATTTACTTTGAAGACTGCTCTACTTTATATAACGACAAATATTTACCTTCCATGACATCGTTGGTTTAATGTCACCATTTTAACTTACCTCCCTTCCTTACTAAAAAATTCCCCTTCAACACCCAAGAGAGGTTTCCAAGTACTTGTTTATAAAATAAACAGTTCCCAGGTCTCCGTAGTAAGTAGGAATTTGTAAGCAGTTCTCAACTAGGGTAAAAGGACGACAGTTTGCTTTTTTACTTGATTTTTATAAAAAGAATCTTTAAGAAAATATTCCTCTTTTGTAGTTTTGACGCTAACAACAAACTGTAAAACTTATTGTTTTGTAAACGGATTTGGGTTAAATGTTTTTGCACAGTTGTATGAAGCCATCTAAAATGTTCACTTTAAACACTGTTAAAAATTTATATTTTAATAGTTATATTATTCAGACGAATCCTTAGAAAATGTTATTTTAAGAATGCTAATTATTTAGTCATACAATTAATTCAGATTGTTCAGAGTTTTTAACTTAATTTAGATTCTTTCTTAGAAGTTAATCTTTCTGAAGATGTTATTCCGAAAAATGTTTAACAATAATCCTTTACACAACGCTAATTTTTTATCCATAATACCGGACTCATTTTATATTTCGCTAAGAATTCAGCGAGAAACCATTGATGTTCGTAATATATAGATATATTTAAGAAAACTCTTTCCAACCAGGTCCAGAATAAAAAAAATTAAGTCAACGCAATTAAGTATTGAACAGGACGAATAATTTCTAAAAGTGACTGAATAAATACAACTATAATTATTTTTCGAGATGCATTTGCCTGTAAAATAAATAATAACTAAAACTATAACTAATTTTTTAATACGCTTTAGCCTGTATCTCTTTTAATGTTCCTGTAAGCCACAGGTGAAATGATCAAAATAATAATTTAATGGAAATGGTATAAATAAATTGGAAAGATATCAGTTTCAGCATATTGAAGGCCTGCGGGTGGTTTGTATAGAGTCTGACTTTGTTTGTTTTCAATCAACTCTTTCTATTCGTTAGGGATTTTCAATATGGACTGCATATCTAGCTCAAATAAGTAATTATACTAGGCATACGGTATTTACATATTTCAAAAGTTTAACCTTGTATATTTATATGTTATTGGCTCATCTAGAGGTATGATTTCGCTTTTGTCTCTGGTTTAAGTACTGGTTCAAAAAACCTTTGTGACGTTGCATAGCACTTATTAAGGTTATATTTTCATAATTTAACTAGATGTCATCTGTTCAACGCTTGTAATGTGAACATAAATAATGCATTAGCAAGAGTTAGAATGCAGTTTCTTTGTAGTGTTTGGACCAGAATTCAATGCAATATGTGCAGGATGAAGAACAATATTACTCAGTCAAAAATCAGTATTAAACTATGTAATTCCAACTATTCAAATTACAACTTAAAACCATGAACTTAAAAAATTAAAAATATTTAAATGCATTTTTTAGAATGTTAACTAATACACGAAAAGTATGATTTTTGATAGTGAAGTTTTAAGGTTAAATATCAACCAAAATTTAGATGTAGCTATGATAAGAGGTTAACCTATTAGTTTCTCAATCTCGTTCCTAATTAAGCCAAGACCAGAAGCCAACTGCACAGTGTACGTGATTCTCTTACAAATAACTTAATTCATTTACATCTCCAAGATAATGGGTGCGCAGCCATGCAGATCGGGGTTCGGTAAAAATGCGATGCGTTATAGGAGTTTCTTTACCCCTTGAAGTATTTTAAAATAATTATATATAACCGATAATTTTGGAGTAGGTTATACAGGGTTGGCAAAATTATAGAACTATAAAATGGGGTAAACGAGGATAACTAAACTCTGCACACCTTTGTATGGTATAAAAGCGCACTTTTTGGTTGGTGTAACAATTTCACTGGTAACCGCAAAACGGGGGATTTTGGTCGAAAACCAAAATTTTTAAGTGCAAAGTCCTATCAAACGACACCTAATTTCGAAGGTATGTAGAAAAGAAGCTTGTGACGTTGTGAGTGAAAACTTCATGTCTTTATCGGAATCAAGTACGTCGTGGAGGTAGTTTCAAAACACAACAAAATACTACTTGAATTATCTTAGTTAAGAAAACTGTGAAAACACCTCATCTTACAGTCTAAAAAGAATATAATTAAAAATACCCCCGCCGCAGCAAACCTGCCGACTAAGCGAATTTCCATTAACCTGATTGGATCTACACTAAAATGCCTCCAT